TTGAAGGAAAGTTGGTACTTTAATCCCCGAGATGAGAATTCTAGGTTTTCTCTAATTGAAAAGGTTCAAAACTGAGTTGTAGGACAGATTTGTTTTTAAAATTGCTACACAACTCATTATTTTCCCATTCTCAAGAATGTACCTTTTGACCCACTCAAGAACTAGGAAACTTACCTTTTTTTCAGGCTCCCAAGTATCTTAAAGAACAGACACATCAGAGGTGAAACATTCCAAGTCAGACTATATTCAGTGGAATATAACAAGATACTTTCCAAATTTACCAGGTGGTAAAATTATCAGACAGGGTCCAATTTTATCAGATCCCCTTTAAACCTAAATTAACAGATTTTTCCACATATACAGAATACAGGCCAGTGATCAAACACATGAAAGTTAGTTGAAAAGAACTGCGACTTTGTTTCACTGCAGCGACAAATCATATAGCAGCGTCAAATCAACCATCATGTGATCAAAGCCTAGAACTGGGAAGAGGGTGAGGAACACAAACACAAATGTCAACTACAAACTTACAACAAAACTAATTTCAAAGTCTTATGCCAGTACTATACTTAGGCTATTAAGAAAATGTATACACACACTTGTTATGCCACTTATTTGTTTTCAACTCAGTTTGAAACTTCAGATTCTAAGAGCAGTCTTAAGACACCTAAGTCAGTTAAAACTAACACATAACACAAAAAACGAAAAGTTCCAACACCAACAGTTGAAATCTCAAGGTATTGATAAAAATCTTATTTGCTGGAAGCAACTCCTCTCTGCATTGAATGTAGCATTAAACAGAACAGGAAACTGTTACACTAATTTAGACAGAACATTTTTTAATACTTCTGTTAACGCAAATAACTTTATCAGTACATTACTTTAAGACAAATTGACGACCCACAAAATGGTACCCTGTGTTTATCCACTTATATTCAAACAACTTAAAATTTGTAACTTCTAGAGTTAAGTATTCTGAAATAGCCCTAGGTTCCAAGAGAGTAAAAAAGGCAAAGAAATCCTAATTTTTGATCAGCATATTCTATAATCATTTCTCTATGCCTACATTACAATCATAATGAAATGAAAGCCAACAACAACAACAACAAAACACATTGTATTTGTCAAATCTGACATGCAATTTCAGAAGTGGAATGTGTTATGACAAATATAAAATTTTGCGTGTTTTTAACACCGACAAAAGTTACAAAGTTTTTAAATTTAAAGAAAAAAAAAACACTTGATATCTCTGGAATGTTTAAAAGTCTGTATTCTTCAGCATACTTAACTTTCAGAATCTTCTGGTCACAATCCCCACCAAACTCAACAGGCCGGGACAAGTGCAATACCATAGAGAAACACAGCATTGCAACCGATCCCAACCTGTGTAGAAAGGGGTTTGATTTTCCCTGAATTTTCTACAGAATTTTCACTACCACAGTCAGTTTTGCATGGATTTGCACAGCAGAACATCACACAGCTGGATGCAAACCTGCAAAACTAACCATAGAACAGTGTTCAGAACAGGGCAGTCTGACTGGGTGACGAGCCGAAGCTGGAGTCCTACAGCTGGCAGCACTGTAAGTGCTCATAGTGCAGTAGATAACGACACACTACCTGCACTGTAAGCACTTTAGTGCTGCAGAAGCTGTCACTCACACACACCAAGCAGATTCTACATCGACACAATAAAAGTAGACAAAATTAGTAAAAACCACTTGAAGGAAATAGCAGGCCACCATCAGTTTTGCATAGATTTGCACAACTACATTCTTCTTGTAGTGCAACTATGCAAAACTAACAGAAGACTGCAAACAAAAATTATTAAAACACCTATATACTCGCTTGGTTTGAATTATTGGATGAAAACATAACTTCTTATGCCAGAAGGAGCACTTAGGGCAGTAGATGCTAATCTACTTCACTATCTGCACTAGATGCACCTTAGAACAAAAAGCACTCAACACCAGCAGGCCCTGCACTGTTTAAAAGCCCACCTTGGCTTCCCGAGGCAGCTGTCACCATAATGCTACAAGTGCCTTCACTGCAGTAGATGCACATATCACTACCTGCACTGTAAGCACTTTGACATTATTCTGACTGGTCACAATCTTCACTTTTACAAGGTGATGTTCTCCTTAGTCCTGCTAAAGGTGAAATAAATAATTAGATTAGCACCTTAAACTACTATAACTATAAAGCAAATGTTATGCAATGCAATCCAGAACCAAAGAGAAAATTAATTAGAATACTATTCACTGAAAGGGAAAGTTCTTCCTTAAACCTGGTCTTTCCCAAAGGAATACTTAAAACCCGCCTACAGTGGGATGATATTATCATCTGGAAGTCTTTAATTCACCCGTACCCTTAAGGGGATCTTCGCATGTACGTGGCAAAACACTTTTCTTCTTTAGGGCTCTAATCAGCAAACACTTGATAAATTAATAAAAGTACCATTCCTACTGCATTGCACGTTTATTGGCTGTTATAACATCTACTTTAAATCTTCACAAAATTTATCACAAGATCAACCAACCTAAAAAGGAGTTTTAAAATTTTATTTTGTAAACTGTGCATTAATCATGCCCAAGAATATTTGCATTGTATTTCTCAAACCATAAAAATTAATCTTTAGTGAATAAGTTGATTGGGCAAAGTACAAAATGCCCACTCAAGCTTTTAAAAAAAGCCAGCCCACTGTTATTAAAAGTCAGTCAAGAAGTCTGCTCTTAAGCTCAGAAAGAAAATTAGAATAGACTTACCAAACCAAGAACTGCTTCCTCAAGCAACAGCAGCCTCAGCATCCAGTTTTCCATGAAGTTAGGTCCACGTGTATCGCTGGGGGGAGGGGAGGCAGCAGGAGAGAGGGAAAAAGGTAAGCATATTTGCTTTGAAATTACTATTAAACTCAAAATCCGTATTTACGTTATTCCGAATCATCGCTAGTTGTTATCAAGTTAAGGCCACCCCTTTTGCAAAACGAAGGCCAACACAACTGAGCCAATAGTGGCGGGGTTTAAAAGAATATATGGGGCGACTGAGGAAGAGAAGAAATCTGAAAAATCTGCTAAGTATTAGATCCACGTTTTAAACTTCTACCCTGATTATTAAACTACAGAGATACGTCAGGATGCCTAACAGCACCTACGAACTCTACTGGTTGGTACAGCGCCCATCAAGGAAAAGAAGGAAAGGAGCCCAGGGACTATTCTTCACCACCCCTCCCCCACCAAGACCTCGTGGCTGCCGGCCGGATAAAGAGTTGTCTCCCCAAGAGCGGCGCTCCTGGAGGTACGCGGCTCATTTCCCTTCGGGCGGCGTTGTGATAACAGGTAGAATTCTCTTTTCCCCTGTGCTTCGGTTCAGATCTTAAAAAACGGGGCCAAAACAGCCGAGACTGAAAAGTGGCCGCCACCCTCATGGAGCCGGAGCCGGCAGCACATGTCGCACAAGGGGGCGCGCGGCGCTGCGCTTCCCCACGTGGCCGCCAGGGGGAGGCGGCCCGAGGCGCCCCCGCCCGACGC